CAACACACCATTCATCCATTCATGCTTCAGTTTAGTTTTGGACTGAACTAATGCCGACCTAAGGCAAATATAATTGCGTGTGTGGGGGCAGGGCCGGACAGGACAATGTTTCGGGGAACATTTGCATGCAGGCGTCATCTGGTTGGGGTTTTTGCGGTGGTCATGTGGCCAGAAAGACAACGCCTAGGCCAAGTCTGACAATTGTGCTGAGTCGAGGCTTCCCCCCGTTCGAGGACGCATCTTCGAGGACAACTGCTGGCAGGGGCTGGGACTGGGACTGGGACTGTGGCTGCATACGTGCCCCAACAAAATATTGATTTAAATGAGTTTCGGTTTCGGTTTCGGTTTTCATTTCCTATCGCAAAATTCCAGCAATCAGCAAATTGTGATGCTCAATGGACCACTTTTTCCTTGAAGCACTTTTGCTCGAGCCACTCGTTAGATGTGTGTGTGTGTGTGTGTGTGTGTGTGTCCTGCTGCCCCGGCAAAAAGTGCATGATAAGCAAAATATTGCACATTGATGATGAGCTTCTCCACATACTTGCCACTTGCCACTTGCCACACGCCGAGTGCGTGTAACAGTGTGTGTGTGCTAGTGTGTGTCTTCCTACTCGAGGTGAGATTTATGTGGCCCCGGGTGAACCGAAGCGGCTGCCGTAACCCCTGGGTCTAAGCTCCTTCCATAATTATGGCAAATCACATGTCAAGGTCTGTCTCTCTCTCTCTTGCCACATCAATAATATAAACTACAATTTAAAGTTGTTGCAACTTTCGCTTATAGTTTTATGGCTTGAAGTTTTATTGTTGCTGAAAGCCAACCCAGGGCTTGGATGTCCTGGGGCCATATTGGCCCAGCTGCCAGCCGACCCCTTGGGTGTAAATAGCCTGAGAAACCTCTCGAATTTCTTGCCTTTTTTCTTTGGGCTAGGGGGTAGGTGGACCAAGGCAAAACGAAAACTCGGTAAAAGTCATTCGAAGCAGCAAAGCCGCAGACAGTGAAGCGAAACGAAAGATGTTGTAAAAAGTTTTTGGTTTAGTTTCATTTACCTAGTGGCACAGAGAAAAACTGAAAACTGTTTGAATATAATTCTAATTTGCATATTATTTGACTACAAGAACGAAACTTGCTCCTTCAGTGTCCCATCCCCACCCCCCGCCCTCTCCACCCGCTTCCCACGCTCCTTTCATGGCCTTTTTCTGGGTGGAGTAACCTTTTTGGGTGCCGCACACACATAATGGCCTGGAAAATCTTATACAAGACATCGCAATCTGCAGGAGGATTGCAGCGGCAACAAAGCTCTTAAAGTAATTAGTGGCATAAATTAAGTTACCCCCCACCCCAGCCCCTGCCCCACCCTGTTACTGAACAACAACAAAGGGCAATTGTTTGAATGACCCTTGTGCCACTTTTAATTGTTGCAATGCTGCGCGAAACTTTTCAACCTGACCGGCAAAAGAGTTACGCAAAAAAAACACACAAAAAGGCCTCTAGCTTTTTGGCCTCTGGTGGCGCGGGGCAGCAGCTTTGCCTGGACAACGCGCTGCAACAAAGCGGCCACCGCGGGGCATAAATAACTTTTTTTCTTTGTCACGCGTTTCATATGCTCTTTGAGCAAGGCAAGGGCAAGCTTTAAATTGAATACAAAATAAAGTAAATTGTGCGTCATTTTGCAGCATTCTCTCACTCCTTGTAATGGCATTCTAATTGCTATCCTTCTGCTCTGTGGCAAGTCCCTCCCCCTCTCTCTCTCTCTCTCTCTCTCTGTGTCTGCGGGGGCGTTGGCGCAACTATCGCAACATTGATTTCCAAATTGATTTTGTCGCTGGATTTGGCCGTCATAAAAATACTCAACGAATATTACATGCCTGAAATAAAACAAGCTGTTGACTTGCCAAATAGCCGTGAAATATTCCCCCAGGGCGTAGGTGGAGCAGGTAACGGGCAATCGCATCGCATCGTTGCTTGCCCCCGGAATTCGCTGAGACAACAAATATTGTGTGTGTGTGTGTGCTCTGCTCTGGTTATATCTGTCCGCCTCTGTCTGTCCGTTTGTCCGCCAGTAACGAGCCCTCGACTGGGCGGAAGGGCAGCAGAGAGGCTGGCTGCCAGGATATCGTAAAGCGACACACAATCACACATAAAATTTTACAACACGAGGATGTTTTTTATTGTACTCATCCTGGCATAGCGCTCCTGGCACTGGCGATACTCCAGCTGCCTCTTTGGTCCCCAATCGAAGCAACTTAAGTAGCCAATTACTGACAAAAACTTCGAATTCCTTACTATGAATTTCACTCCTTCGATGGCTGTTGCCGCTCCCTGCTGCTCTGCTGCCCTGCTGCCCTGCTGCTCCTCTGTCTGCATCTCAGACTCCTTCGGCGACTCGTTCTTTGGCTTTTTCTAGAGTTTGTTTTGCTGCGCAACAAAACATTTTTCTATTTAATTAAAATGAATTCACCTTTCGGCTGTTCGAACTTTTGGGCAAATCTCGAACAGGAGGACAGTGCCGGGGAGGACAGGGCTTTGCCGCTGATTTATGGATGAACGCCAATAAATTTGCACTGCCGCCTGCCGCCTGAGCCGTGAGCAATTTAAATCACGAGCTCTGCTGCGGTTTTAATTAAAAGGAATTTATTTCCCACTCAACTGCAGATAAGTGCTCAGCCAGTGGTGGAGCACCGTGAGCACCATCCATCCGTATAAATATAATAGTTTACCTTTGTGCCCAGCACCAGCGCCAGCCACCCACTGCCACCCGCCACAAATCCACACTCCACACACACACACACACACACACACATATGTGTGTGCCCTGCTCCTCGCATTACATGACCACGACTTGCCATTATCGTTAAGACAATGCAAATACATTTATATACATATGTACAGTGGGTACATAAATGTACTTATGCATGTATGTACATACATATTTATGTATATTTACATTAGAGATGTGCAGAAGCAGCGATACAACTCCATTTCGTGGCCTACACTTCGCGGCAGCTAGAAGTGAAGTTAAATAACTTGAAGTTCTATGAAAACTCACAGTCTTTGAGCAATAATCTCTAGCTAAGAGATCTACATAGCTCCATCTATCTATCTATCTCTTGCGAACTGGCGGCATCTTGTTAGCTACTTGAATCTTATCCCGCTTATGACCATCTCTAGGCTACACGCATGCCAAATGTGTGTGCTCTGTTGGCTCTAACCCTTTGCCAACATGTCTATTTTGGTCAATGGCATTGGCAACGAAGCCATTTGTTAATTGTTGCCTCACCCCCTGCGGCGGTGCCTGTCATAATTATGGAGCAGTCGCCTGCCGCTTGCCGCCTGCCGCCTGCTGCTGCTCAAGTTGCCTTCAGCTGCCTCCTAAGACTGGGCTGCATCGTCGCCTGTCTTGTTATTATGGATGAATGCGATGCTGCCACGGATGCCCCGACTGCTCTGGCTACTTTGCTCTGGTCTGGTCTGTTCTGGTTTGATTCTGCCACCACAGATCGGGTTTCAGCATTAGCCAGTAATTAATCATGCGCCTTGTTATAACGGTCATTTGTGTAATTATAGACCGGGATTGATCTCTCTCTCTCTCACTCGCTCTCTTTCTAATGCATTCAATAAAAATGTAAATGCATTCGGGTATCGCGAGCTCAATCAGAATCGAGTGAAAATTAATGGCCAATAAGCGAAAATGAATCATGCGATTGGGCCTGAATGGCTCCCAACTTTTTGCGAATGTTGTGGGAACCTCGACCCTCGGCCCCGGCCCCAAAAACATCTCAAAGGCCCACTAAAACCCCGATATAAACACACAGCCCACAGCTAAGACACTCCACACACACACACACACACACACAGCAACAGAAGCGAGGAGAACAGAACTGGGCACAGAGCGAAGGAAATCGTTGGCGATAAATCTCCCATTTACCTTTAAACTCGAAATACGACCACCAATGGGGCGCTTTTCGTCTGTACGCGGACAGGGCGGGCAGGGCGGGCAGGGCGGGCAGGGGTGGACAGCGAGAGCGAGACACGAGAGCGGGAATGTCGGTTACACTTACAGCCTTAAATCCACTAACAAATAAAGGAATAAATGGCCCATAAAAAGGATTTTACAAATGCCCGGCTGCCACTACAAAAAAACCCTCGTGTGTTTCCTATTTTACAGTTATCGTGGGTTCTTTTCTGTTTTGTAGTTTCCTGCGAGACGAAAGAGAGAGAGAGAGAGAGAGAGAGATGTTCGCCCCAAAGAATTGTATAACGGGACCCAAAAATGGCAACAAGTTGGCACAGCAGAAAACGGAAGTTTTCCCCACGGCATTCCTGTAGAGGAAATTGAATTTGTTAAAAATGAAAAATGGTAAGCTTCCGTTGGTAATTCAAGCTTTTATTATTTTCCATAAACATCAAGTTTAATTAAAGAATATTCTCGCGCCATTGTGTGATATATTTGAAATACCATTTAGTATTTTTAGACATTTTCAGCTATGTAATTTATGTATGCATGTATTATTTACATGGCCGGGATGCCAGATAGCAAGAAAAAGGTTAAAACCCCTTTCCTACTTATAGTTTGACCAAAAGGAAGTCATTAACAGAAATAAACAATCTTGTAGAAAATTTATTCATTATTTGAAGAAAATAGGGTTGGCCAGCAACAAATAGTCAAATGATGTACAATTCCATTCCCATCCACGTAACCTTTTAATGCTATTTATTTTGGTTGACCTTTTTAGTTATAGCCTTACTTTGAAATCAATTCTAAATATGTTAGTCAAACAAATATATCAATCTTGTAGATTAGAGATTGATGATTCTGTAAAATTATAGTTTTAGCGCTGAGCATCCTAACTAGCTGGTATTATTAAGTAGAACATCAAAATCGAGGAAAATGGTTCAAGGTTTACGGTATACTTACAGTATATTTTGAAAATGAAATGGTATATTTCGGTATAGTCCGAGGGTCTATCGGTATATTTGATCGATAGTTCCGCGGTCACACTGTTTGCGTGGTATATTACGGTAATCGGTAAAATCTAAACACAAGTAGAATTAACAAAAAAAACAAGAAAACAACAAATTTAATCTGAATAGCGAACCCACAACGAAGGCCATAACATAATCCCAAGTGAAAAACGTCAGAGCTGTTCATTTAATGTTCCAGAAATCACGCGTCTCTCGGCTCTGCGAACGGGAACGGGAACGTGTTTGGGGCTAGTTTTTTGTGTGCAAAAGTGGACTTAGTGGCTGACGGGCTGCAGCAACTAACTGTGATTTGGGGAGAGACATAGCCGCCGCCGCGGCCACAGGAGCGCCCAGTCCTCAACCCGATTCGCTGGCGGAGGCCAAGTAAACGGGGGCGTCGCGTGCCCGCTTATATGTGTGTGCCGTGTGTGTGTGTGTACGTGCGCGGTGTATGGACAAGAACAAGTTGCAGCGCTCGCGAGTGTGCACTGGTATTAGTGGTGCTCGGTGTGGCAGTGTGCGTGCTGGGTCTTGATGTCTGCGCTGTTTCCCAGACGACGACCAAGAGGTGAGCACACAGGTGAATTATCGGTGCAATACGCTGCCTTGGCAACAGAGCCGCAGAGTCACAGTCACAGCCCTGGCCACAGTCGCATTCAAGAATAGGCGACCCACCCCGACCCAACGACAACAACAACAACAACAAGCAAATAAAACCTAAAACGAAAATGTTGCGTTTTCTGAGCCGTCGCAAGGTGCGCAACAACTACGCGGATAATGCCAGCAGCCCTCGCGGTGGCGTCGGCGGCGGTGGCATGGGCGGTGGCGGGGCCGTCGTGGCCAGCGGCTCCCAGATTAAGCCGCAGCGCATCGTCGTGAACAAGAACAAAATAGACTGCCGCGTCATACTGCTGGACAATACTGACCTTTCCATCGAATTATCGGTAAGTATAGAATTACGTTGTGTTTGTTTGTTAAGTAACAGCGAACTGAAAGTTGACATAAATTATGGTTTGGGGAGTACGTTTCGAGTTGAATCAAGTCAAGCAAAAACCCCACTCAAAGGTTAATTGCTGATGTGTGGGACTGTCACACAGACACTGCGATGTGCCTGCGCGTGTATTGCAGCTGGCTGCCTGAATGTGAAATAAACGAGACACCACTGGCGGCTGGCTGATCTTCGCATTGTTGAACCCCGCTAAGCGAACGTGATTAGTTCAGGGCCAGATTGATTTACAGATACCCGGCAACGCGATGGGCACTAATTTTCTCAACTTTGCACTTGGAATTTGCAGAAAAAAGCGTTGGGCAGCTTCCTCTACGAGCAGGTCTTCTATGCGCTGGACATCATCGAGAAGGATTACTTTGGCCTGCAGTTCATGGACGCCAATCATGTCAAGCACTGGCTGGATCCCACCAAGCCCATCAAGAAGCAGGTCAAAAGTGAGTACTTGGACAGAGTTCAGACCTCTCAAAGTGATCGCTACTAATGCAAAACGAATTCCTCACAGTTGGACCACCGTACACATTCCGCCTGAAGGTGAAGTTCTACTCTTCGGAGCCCAATACGCTGCGCGAGGAGCTCACGCGCTATCTGTTCTTTCTGCAACTGAAGCAGGACCTGCTGGAGGGACGCCTCGACTGCCCGGACGACAAGTCCACCGAGCTCTGTGCCCTGGCCTTGCAATGTGGGTTGAATCCTGGCTGAATAATTTTCTTTTACTAATTGTAAATTTCCACCCACAGCTGAGTTGGGCGACTACGATGATCAGGAACACTCGGCGGCCACCGTCTCGGAGTTCCGTTTTGTGCCGGAGCAAACGGAGGATCTGGAAATATCCATTCTGGAGGAGTACAAGACATGCCGCGGCCTGACGCCTGCCCAGGCCGAGACGGCGTTCCTCAACAAGGCCAAGTGGCTGGACATGTACGGCGTGGACATGCACACCGTGCTGGGCAAAGATGGATGCGAGTACCACCTGGGACTCACGCCCACTGGCATCCTGGTGTTCGAGCGTGACCAGAAGATAGGACTGTTCTTCTGGCCAAAGATCAGCAAGTTGGACTTCAAGAAGAAGAAGCTAACGCTGATCGTCATCGAGGATGACGACGATGGACGCGAGCAGGAGCACACCTTCGTCTTCCGATTGTACAACGAAAAGGCCTGCAAGCACCTGTGGAAGTGCGCCGTGGAGCATCACACCTTCTTCCGGCTGCGAGCGCCTGTGAAAGGCCCCTCGGCACGCCAGAACTTCTTCCGCATGGGCTCGCGTTTCCGCTACTCCGGCCGCACCGAGTTCCAAACCACACAGCAGAGCAGGGCACGCCGCACGGTACAGTTTGAGCGTCGGCCCTCCCAACGCTTTGCCAGTCGACAGTCGCATCTGCTGCGAGAGCGCCAAAAGGCCTCCCAGGAGTCGGCCGCTTCGGCCGTGGCCTCGGTCAATGCACGAGCTGCTGCAGCCGCCGCCGCTGCTGCGGCTGCCTCGCACTCCAGCCAGACACCAGTTCCATTGACTCCAGTTGCTGCTCCCACGCAGTGCAACGACAACAACAGCGATGTCTTCGATTCGCTGATTTCCACGGATCAGTTCATCACTGTCACGCCCTCGCCCTCTGTGCTCACTGTCATACAGAACTCTGCCATCATTGAACCCGATGCTGCCTGCAGTGCTTCCATCAGTTCCTCCACACATGCGGGGGCCGCGTGCGCCTCCCTGGGTCGCAACTCCCTAAAGTCCAACTTTAGCAACGATGATCCGGCGTACAGCAAGATTGGATCCATTGGCAAGGCCGCTGGCTTGACTGTGAAGTATGGAAAAAGGCGAAAATGTGCTTTATAAATGTACCCTAAATCGTGTCTTTGCTTCTTGCAGATTGGAGCCAGAGTACACGCCGCCGTATTCCCCGAATGCAACGAAGAACTTTGATGAGACCAATCCGTTCAGGAGTGCCGCCTCGCATCATGGCAGCTTTGGCAAGGCATCCATTAGCTCAGGCCAACTCAGGTAAGCGGCGCAGTTTCAGTTTCGATTGATGTTCATTTATCGCTTTTACATCCTGACTAATATTGCCTGTTTGTGTGTTTGCCGCCTGTCTCTCACCTGTCTTTGTTGTGTCCTGTGTTTGTGGTTCATTGTGCAGTGTTAAGAGCGGCTTGTCGGATAAAGACAGAGAGCTAGACTCATTGCTTAAGTCCATTGTGAAAGATCCATCCCCATCAGTGCTAGCAAACGAAGCCATTAACGATGCTAACAGTATCAGGTAGCGTAAATACCCACGAGCTACGAGTCTAGCATAGATATATTGATCAGCGAATCTCCATCTATTCCTCAGAGTAACCATCAACAAGACCTTCGACATGGACCACAACACGGAGACACTGAAGCGCCTCTCGAACGCCAACGAGAAGCCCAACAACCAAGTGAAGCTGGCCAATGTGGGCTCCACCTCGCTGCCGCCTGGCAACATCAAGTGCAATATTCTAAAGGGTAAGCCAGCTACCAAGGGGATATACTATGAGCAGAGATTAAACAGCTTTCTTGCTGCATTGCAGCTCGTGTTGAGGAGGAATTGGGTGCCGGCGGCAATGCGAAGCTGACCAATCAGATGTTTGTGCCTGCCGCCAGCTCTGCTGCTGCCCACTCCGTTATGCACACAAGCATCAGCAGCAATCATGCACACAGCAGCGATGGACCGGATTCCCTGAACGCCACCTACATATCAGTGGTGAGTGGCCAACGAACCAGTTTGCTCCACACTTTGCACCCGTTTCATGCTTTCTGTATGTTTTATTTTCATTTTCATTTGTTGTTTCGCACTTTATGTTTATTATGTGTCTGTGTGTGTGCGTGTGTGTGTGTGTGTGTAAACTCTCGGTAAACGCGTAAACCCGAGCAGGGAGGCGATAAGCTGACGCTCAGCATACCGGAACAGAAACCGGCAACAGGCACGGGCACCACCTCGGGCACCACCAATGGTAATCCACCCTTCAGCAACGCCACATTCGTCTCTGGCTTTACTGCGCCACTGACCCCACCGTCATCGCTGCCAGCCATACTCAACAACAACAACAACAACAACAACAGCAGCAGCGCCACCAGTGTAACCACCATCAGCACGCCCAACAGCCCCACTGCCAGCATCAGTGTGGTGGCTGCCAACAGCAGTGGCACAGAGCCCGCCGCGAGCGTCGCTGCACCCGCGTTGAGCAATGCCTCAGCTGCCGAAATACTCATTAATGAAATATTCATTAACAACATCATAAACAACAATGCCGCCGCCAGCAGTAACGGCAGCAGCAGCACTGACAGTGGCAACAACGCAACCGAAACTGGTGCAAAGCCTGCGGCAAATGCCACGCCCAGCGCCGGCACATTGCTCTTCTCCACGCTCAGTGAGCAGGAGCGTCTGGAGGCGCAGAAGACAACAAGCCAGAAGCCGAAACCGAATCCAAATCAGAACCAGAATCACAGCGAAGTAGATGCGCCGCAGAGTGAAAAGGTTTGACCATTGAGCAAGTTCTGTCTACGCTTTCACTGTCTGTCTATTAACTGGCCTAGAACAACGATTAACATTTAGTTTTCATTTCTTTCAAACTGCACGCAACTCTAACTCTTAGCGCTAGTTCGTTGAACTCTCCATTAACAGCTTTTAACACTCTTAAAAACGGTTGATCTTCCACAGAAAAGCAAGAGCAATTATCCGGAGAGCAGCCGCGTTCCGTCCAGCAATAGCAACAGCAACAGCAACGATATGGTCTCACCCTGGCTGGTCTCTTCGGAGGTTGTGTCGGCCCCCAAGGGACGCGAGCCGACCATAATACGAAAGTCCGTTATAACAACGCAGTTGTAATTATTGTTTAGCCTTTAATCTTTTACAAATATAAGCCTAAATGTTCTTATTTATATACATCTACATATACATATACATATACATATACATATACATATTTTAGCTACGCAAATTCTAGGCAGACGTAAATGTACTCTCGTATTTTTTTAATATAGACAAACGCTAGACAAGTTTGAAGCATTCCATGAGAGAGTGGCAAGAAAGCGAAAAAGCGACATAAACGACAATGAGAGAGCAGGTCCAATCAAAATGTAAACTGTCCATAAATGTGCCTTAACGATCTATATACATATACATACATACGAAACATATTTATTAACTTTACATGATATTCGTTTACATTTGAGCGAACACGGGAACGAGATGTGCTAAAAACAGTGTACTTAAAATAAAGTTAACAATTCAAAATGTATTCATTTGCTAACTATAAGTGTATAGACTGGATTTTAAACCAACAAAACAGAAACAAAAACAAAAACAAAAGTGATGAAGGCGTTCTGCTTAATATAGTAGCTAAGAAATGTGAGCATTCCCCCCTCAATGCAGTATTCCAACTAAACGTTGACGACCAACAAGAACAACGAATCCGATCCGTATCTAAATTGTAACTAAAAGAATATTGACTGAAATTGTATACAAAACCGAATTGAGATGCAAATTTTAAAATGTGCTACCCGCCGTGGTATTAACCAATTATTATCCATCGAAATGTGAAGTACAAGTGCCAGTGTACTCCGTACTAGTATTTGTCTAAGCATACAGAGTGATGAGGATGTTGAAGCATTTAAATGTATAAAAATATTCAATAAAAGTGCATTTATGCATTAAACATTTACACACACAAACACACACACACTTGGGACCAGCGACGCTGCAGCATTTATTCCCCCAACCGAAGAGTTGTGTGTGTTTTTCTCATCTATTTTCGATTTAGGCAGCCCATTCCTGGAAGCCAGAAGGAGGCCCAGCTGCTAGCTTCAAGTACAGAGCAGCAGCGGAGACACAGCGGAGGCCATAGCATCACCATCACCAACCCATTCCAGTCACACACATGTACTTGAAATTCCAAGATATTTTCGCAGCCCCCGAGGTCGTGGCACTGCAATTAAAAGACAGCCGGCGGTCGCCTTCAGCCTCAGCCTCACGGTTGCCCTGAAGCCTGATTCCAAAAGAGAAATCTTCGGTGTATGTATGAATATCGTTTTAGAGAACACATTTGTTGATGCTCTGGCATGCTGCTTTGGCCCTATTTTTAGCCCAACGACGACGAGGGGGCAGCAGCTCCTGCGGATGAGCGAAAATGGACTGGAAGAGCGAAGAGCGTGCGTCCACATAGAGATTATACCTATGCCATGCAAATGTAGATATGCACCTTTAGCAACTCTGCCCCCCCTCCAGCTATACATACATAGAGGAGGTATGTACATACATATCTTCCTTTACATAGCCACTGGTATGTGGGCATGCAGTGGGCGTGCAAAATTTCGTAATTTCCTGTGCGCCATGCCATCCGATGTGTTGCTAAAAATACTGATTCAAAAACTGCTGTCTGCTTCTGTGCATTGAATGAAAGATAATGTTTTTTTTTAATATTATAGTTTCATTAGATTTAATTTTTAAGTGGACTTCTACTTGTATAATTTATTTTGTTTAGACTGTAAATTTTGCATTCTTGATTCTCCTGAAATCTCTCTTCTCTCCTCATCGACTTGTGCGACACTTCCAATAAATATTAATATAAGTATAATACATTATCATGCTGGTTTCAATTTGTTGTTCTTTGGTTGTTCTTTGGTTGTCCGCGGGGGCAGCAAGAGGTGTGACTTAACATTAATCATCCTCGAGTCCTAGGCGCCAGGACGGCACACCGACGCCATTCTCCTCTCGTTTTTTGCTGTATTTGTTGTGTGTGTTCGTGTTGGTGTGTGGTGTTGTGGTGTGGTGGTTTTGGCTGCTGCAGCTGCTGCTTAGAAGCACTTGCGGTGGACGATGCCTGGGCCGGACTCGTCGTACTCCTGCTTGGAGATCCACATCTGCTGGAAGGTGGACAGGGAGGCCAGAATGGAGCCACCGATCCAGACAGAGTATTTACGCTCTGGTGGGGCAATGATCTTGATCTTGATGGTTGAGGGCGCGAGGGCGGTGATCTCCTTCTGCATGCGATCAGCAATACCGGGATACATGGTGGTGCCGCCGGACATGACAATGTTGGCGTACAGATCCTTACGGATATCCACGTCGCACTTCATGATGGAATTGTAGACGGTCTCGTGGATGCCGCACGACTCCATGCCCAGGAAGGAAGGCTGGAACAGGGACTCGGGGCAGCGGAAGCGCTCGTTTCCGATGGTGATGACCTGTCCGTCGGGCAGCTCGTACGACTTCTCCAGCGATGTGGAGGCAGCAGCGGTGGCCATCTCCTGCTCAAAGTCCAGGGCAACGTAGCACAGCTTCTCCTTGATGTCGCGCACAATTTCACGCTCAGCGGTGGTGGTGAACGAGTAGCCACGCTCGGTGAGGATCTTCATCAGGTAGTCGGTGAGATCGCGACCGGCCAAATCCAGACGGAGGATGGCGTGTGGCAGAGCATAGCCCTCATAGATGGGCACGGTGTGGGAGACACCATCGCCAGAGTCCAAGACAATGCCAGTGGTACGACCGGAGGCGTACAGGGAGAGCACAGCCTGGATGGCGACATACATGGCGGGTGCGTTGAAGGTCTCAAACATGATCTGGGTCATCTTCTCGCGATTGGCCTTGGGGTTCAGTGGGGCCTCGGTCAGCAGCACGGGGTGCTCCTCGGGTGCGACGCGCAGCTCATTGTAGAAAGTGTGATGCCAGATCTTCTCCATATCGTCCCAGTTGGTGATGATGCCATGCTCGATGGGGTACTTCAGGGTGAGGATACCTCTCTTCGACTGCGCCTCATCGCCCACATACGAGTCCTTCTGTCCCATGCCCACCATCACGCCCTGATGGCGCGGACGTCCCACAATCGAGGGGAACACAGCGCGGGGTGCATCGTCGCCGGCAAAGCCAGCCTTGCACATACCAGATCCATTGTCAACGACTAATGCGGCAACCTCATCGTCACACATCTTGGCTTAGATTGGTTTTAACTGCAGAAGAAAGAGCACACGACACAGAGAAGACCGTTAATAAACGCAAGCAGAAGACACACTTTGGGTTTGGGTTTGGGTTTTTGTGAATTTGTTTAAACACCAGTGGTGATGTGTGATGTGTAAAGTGTGTGATCTGATTGAAAAGTCTGTGGTATACTGACCGTTAAACAGGAGCAAAGAGACAACTAGAAAATCAAAATCAACACTTTCGCTGTAGAACTGCGAGTGGCCGCTGGACCGAGATGCGCTAATATTTATACCATTCGACGAGCGACCCTCACTCGAGCAGATATTCCACACGCAAGCACACACACACGCACACACGCACACACCGAGAACACTCTCTCAGACATATGCAACACATGGCATGGATGCACATTTGGGAAGGGGAAAAAAATGTTGAATTTCTTTAAAAATAATTTGTTTTCGTTGGTTTGTTTTTGGATTTCGGTTCGCTTCGTTCATAATTCCGAAGGGGCAGAGACAGCCGCACACACCCACAGAAAGACACAACATCCATCGAGTGCACACACATACAGCGGCAGATCCTCCGGATCCGGAGCAGCAGCATCCCCCAGCATCGTAGGCGTAGGCATTCGCTCATAGATCGTCTCTGTATCTGTGTATCTGTGTATCTTTCCGAGAGTAGATCTCTGTGGCTGTGCTGTAGCTGTGTTCGTTTTTGTTTTGTCTAATTTTTAATCAACATTTGCACGTTGGTCCGTCCAATCCATACATGGTTGCGATGGAAATCTCTCGGCGATGAGAACGCACTCGTAATTAGAAATAATAAAGATATAGAAGGAATCTCAAACACACAAACCAAAACCGAAAATCTCTGTGAATTAAGTAGACTCGTAGCCGTAATTTGTGGCACTGGGTGTGGGTGGGATCGCGGAAATTGTTAATAGAGCGCGCGATGCATTTATAGATTTTGTTTGCAAGTTTGTCTACGCCAATACTGAAATCAATTACATATGCTTCAAACATATTTTCCCATTAATATTCCTTCTGGCAATCCCTCACCCATTAATCACTCAAACCCAAATCTTTTATTGACTTTTATTGATATAGATACTTGGGGTAGGAAACTACATATCAGAAATATATATGAACATGGAAATAAAACAAAGTCAACCAAACATTCGTTTGTTGTTTACCCAATTCTCGCAGAATGCGTGCGTGTGTGGGTGGGAAAGCTGTGTGAAATGGAAATCGTAAAAGCAATGGAATGAAAGAAAAAGAAGGCAAATGAAAATACAAATCGTGCGCTCTCACGTTTTTGCATGAGATTCTTGGACGCTTACGCGCAGACAAAATATCTAGAGTATGGAATTCTATTTTAAGCGCAAAACTGAGCAGAAATATATATTTTATGAACTTAAATATAAATAACTATGCGATTGGCCAGTTATCGCAGGTGAGGGCATAAGCTGCGCAGTTGTGCTGACTTTTTAATACACTTTTATTAAGATATTATCTAGACAATTTATGTTATTGAATATTTATAAATATTTGGAAAAATACTCTCTGTTACTCTTCAAAGTGTGTGGTCTAGTTACAGGTTCATAAACCAGAACTAATTGGTTTTGGCAAGCATTTTCTATATTTTATTGAATATTCATGGGTTACTGCTCACATTTCATTTTTAATTTTAATTTTCTTGAAATAAATGATAATCCACAAGAATTATATCAATTTGCTAAAATCATTTCCAAGTCCCTAACAATTGATAATCGAATTTTGCACGATTTATTTATTTATTATTAGCTCATCAAATATTTTCCCCTGCCCAAAACAGTCACTTCCCGGGTTTCCTCTTCAACAAGCTACAAAATCCGTAATGCCCAGCCGTTTATGCTCATAATTTATTTTCATTCAGTCGCTGATTCATCTTATCAGCTGGGTGTCATCTACATATTTCCAACGCCTTGTTGAGTACCATTAACGTGTCTTTCATTCAACCAGCCACAACGATTGCTTGCGCAGAAGAAGCGTTCATTGTACATATGTATATTCATATACATACATACCTAAGTATGTAGAAACATTCGTAGCTATGTTATCTCTTGGTTGTATTCATATTTGCTTCGGCCCACATTGGCTGGCTGGCTAGCAGCTGATTGAATTGTGTTGGCCAGCAGCAGCAACAGCAGCAGCCACAACAGAGCTGCCAATTTGAAAATATTGCAACAAATGTGCGCTCCTAAAAATATTATTTATAAAAATGGCTGGCTGGCTGGCTGACTGTACGTAGACCCACCACCTTTTAAGGATGCGCCACTTGGACGGAGGCGAATGCCGACGACAGCTTGACGTTGTCGGCGCGCGCGCCTGTCCGTCCGCCGCTTTCTTGACAAGCAGCCGCAACGGGAAAACCAACAGCAACAACTACGAGTACGGGTACGGGTACGGGCACGGCAGCCGTGCATTCCACGCTGCATTGCATTTATTTTTTTTCGTATTTTTAAATCGAATAATGTGCCAAGAAAATATTAATATATAGATACATAAATATATTTCTTTCGGGCCGAAGCTCTACCATTTTAATGTTTAATTTTTTTACAATTAATTAATTAATTTAATTATATGCTCGGGCGTCACTGATGGTTGGCCATAATTCTGTGCAGATTTAAGCCCAATTATGGTGCTAAAATAAATTGTAGCTATTATTGGGAAAGCCACTCATGGGTTCTCCCTGCGTTCTGTGATGTAAACTCATCTCCGAGCTCTGGCATAGAAACACTTGACATATGCCCACTCGATGAGAAAAACACCAAAAGAGATCAAGAGCAGGCCACTGGAGAAGGCAAACGCCCCATGGAACTGCGCCAGAGTCAGCGCCTTGAAGGGATCCTCGCGCACGCGATTGATCTCCTCGTGGATCATGCGCTTCATGTCCAGATCGCGTGCCCACTTTTGCATGTGGCCCGACTCGATAATGTGCTGAATGATTGGGTTAATCTGGTGCAGCAAATGATACTTCTTGGGCAGCAGCATGGTGACCAGATACACGTAGAGCGACTCCCTGCGATCGAAGCAGAAGAGGCGATCGCGCGGAATGCGTGGATTGTAGAAGGAATGCTGACGGGAGACGGCCACTGCGATGTGCTCGTTGTTTGCGGCATCATTGAGGCAGTCCACGATGTTGTAGCACATTTGGAACTTTTCACGAATGTACTTGAAGATCTGCAAGGAGGGGATATGAGTAAATGCACTCTTGAGCTGCTGCTACTGCCAAGAGCTGTGGAATCACCTCTCCCTCCTTGTTCAAATGTCGAACGTTCTCTGAGCTGCCCATGATGGTCATGCGATGGCTGTAGATCTCCTCCAGGGACTCAATCTGATGTGAGCTGCGTGGCGTGGTGAGCGTGCTTATGAGAAAACTCTGGTAGATATTGCTGAAGAAGAAACCCATCAGAAAGGAGAGCGCAAAGAGCTGCCGCAGCACAAACGACAGCGTCTGCGCGGGCATGGCCTGCGTCAAGAGTATGCCCAACATTCGGAGCCAAATGGCAAAGTAATTGTTGAGATTCCGCAAGCGGAAGCCGCTGATCCGCTGCGCCATCAGCACCACCAGGGAGCAGGTGACAATGAAGAGCAGCAGCAGGCAGCCCGTGTCCGCATTGAAGGTGGCCACAAAGTTGAAGAAGCCGTGCTTCCGCTTGGCCCGTGCCACGCACCACGTGAGATCGTCCTGGTGGTAGGGAATCGAACTGGACACAAACTGACTAATGCTGGGGTCCTCATCGATGCCACCCACAATCATTTCGATTTCGCTGAAAGTGAAGTTGGAGTGCAGTTGGGAGATGGATTACAGGGGTTTGTCTCCACTCACCCGTCGATTAGCTGCTGAAACAAATGATACAGATTGGTGTTCTCCGCCTGCATGTCGATGTTCACATTCAGACGCTCCGCAATGGTCTGCACCATCTGGTACTCAATGCCGCTGAGCTTGGCCTTGGTCCCATCCTGGCCGGCATCTGCATCCAGTAAGCCGCTGGTGTCCGCGTAGTCTGCATCCGCATAGTTCTCCTCTCCCGGATCCCCATAGCTGGATGTCTGATTGTAATCTCCTTCGTCCTGCGCACCGTAGTAGTAGTCCTCCACGGGCTCCTCTCCGCTGCGAAAGATGTAAGGCTCCCAGGGACGAAAGGCTGCCGTTAGGGGACATCCACTGAGATCACTTGGAAACTTATCCTCAAACTTTGCGCGATAAAACTCCTCGATGACGGCCTCTACTTTGGCTGTGGCATTGGAAGAGATCACCCGTTCTCCAGTCTCAGTTGAATGCTTGTTATTCTCCGATTCGGCACCACTCTTCGCTTCGTTTCCACTCTCTGCTTCCGCACCACTTTCCTCTGCGTTTCCACTCTCTTCTTCGGTTCCACTCTCCACTTCGTTCCCGCTCCCCTCTTCCTTTGCGGCCTCCGCTGACTGTTCGTATTCCTCTTTCTGCTCGGACTGCACCTCTGTGTACATTCTCATTAGCAGTGCTTTATTGTCAACCAAGTTATCCTTAGATTCCACGTAGAGATCGTTTCCTTCGTATTCCATTTCATTATCTGTGTTCTCTTCATAATTTTGGACTGCATTTTCTTCAGCATCTCCAACTTGTTCATCTTCTCCATCATTATTAGCTTCTTGTTCTTCAGCCTCACCGGCTTCATCTCCTCCAACATCATCGTCAGAAGTTTCATCTTCACCCGCTTCATTCGTTCTTTCTTCACTTTCTGCCGTACTTTCAGTACCGTCTTCTCCCCCATTTTCAGCAGCCTCCTCGAACTCCCCTTCATTGTCACCTTCACTATCATCTTCCTCCTCATACTCATAGTCCGTGTCGCCCCCACTCTCACTCGGATAGTCGCAGGCATCGAGCAGCTCCACGGCGATCACCCGATTGCCGCAATTGTTGTCCGGATGATAGGGAAATACGCTCTTGCCGTAGTAGAACTGGTTCTCCTCGCTCTGCCCAATCACGTTCACGTTGAAGATCTTCTTGTTCATGAAGGTGAGCAGCAGCTCCACCATCAGGTCGGTCATCTCCTCGTCCGTCTCCTCCACGGGGGCCAGGTAGACCACAAACTGCGCCAGTGGGTTCCAGTTCAGCATGCCCTTCCAGTGGTCGAACACCTCGTCCAGGTCCTCGTCTTCGAGATTTCCCACCATCAGGAAATAGCATTGCGGCTTCTCGTGCATCACGAACTCTGAGGGTAGAGAGGACTCCCCCCTGGGATTCGTGACCAGCAGCGTCCATGGGTAGCCGTCATACAAATTCATGCCACGGAGCAGCCGCTCCTGGACACTGTGCAGCTGATAGTTGCGGCTGATGCACAGCACCGAGCCGGACAGACTGTCGCCAGAGTCAAAGTACTTTCTGAGCATTGCCAGGATGCAGGCGCCCTCCGACCGATCCTCATTGGTCACCGCCATCAGATTCAACCCGAATCCATCGGCAGCTGAAACCAGCTGCAAGAAGTGCAGCAGCAAAGTTGCCGCCCAAACGGAGCGCCCTGAAAAGTGTAACTTTGGTGCGCACATGCCACAGCTAACTGTGTGGGCATGCCACAGAGACAACTAATCTGCCACGCCCCCCTCGTAGACGCCCAACGCAGCAACGCAGCCGCATGTCTCGAGGGAGCCGAGCCGCCGGCTCTCTGTCATTAAACTCCAATTATATTAATTTTCAATCTTTGATTCGGCAACAAAAAGCGTCCCATTCTCCCATTCTGCTTGGCTTGTTTGTGTTTGTTTAGTGCCCGTTACCGTTACCGTTACATTTACTGTTACAGTTATAGTTACCGGTGCGTCGCGCCTTTTAGGGCCCGTCATAGGAATTGACGCGCCACGGGAATTGCGACAGGGTGGCTTAATCTTTGATCTGCACCAAACATGCAGCTCTGCTTACACTCGGACAAAATGCGAGGTATTCTTGCAAGGTAACTGATAAAATATGTAACTGGTGCAGTGAAGGCAATAGTTGCTTAAAGAAATATTACAAATATTAGATACAAGAATTGAAGTCGCAGACTGGAACTGAAAGCTCCCTCGGTGACCTTCTTGCCGATCCGCTCCTACTGCTGAATTCGCCCGCTCTCATTTGAATTCGCTCTTCGTCGTTCTTGGTATGCGTTCGTGTTTGGAATTCGCCTTTGCTCGTTTTTTTCCTTGTCTCGGGATTGCAATTGACAAAACCCATCACACATGTATTAATGAATTTAAATCAGGTTGATATAATTAAAATGTTACTGAATTTAAACTCTTCCATCTCAAAATTAAGAGTTTCAATGCAAATTTTCTTGCGAAGTTTTATTTTTAAATATCGTCAAATTTTTTTCGATCTGTATCTCAACTCAACGCCAGTCCAATGGTTTCCATTCATTCCCATGGCCGCAGACTTTTGTCTAGTTGACATTAAAGTTTAAGCCACGCGAACGTCGGACGAAGTCTGGCTGACATTTTGGAGTCATAAATAATGTTGCATCGAATGGAAAGCAAAAAGTAGTGAAATTGAATCGAACGTGTGTGTGCTGAACGTGTGCGAATCGAACGTGTGTGTGCTCGCGTTCGCTCGGACTTGTTGAAATACAAAAAGGCAGTCGCGCCCCAGGTGGTGTGTCTGCAGATATACAATCTAGCAAATTGCTTTAATTTTTTTTTTGTATGTATTATTTTTAGTGCGACTATAACATACATCATAAACGCACATATATATTTTTTTGCAATCTTACATCATCGTAAAGCGGACAATTTACATACAAAACTGGCCATAAATAATACGCACCAAAGCTGTCAAAGTTTCTTGCCATTCCGACAGACCATAAATGCGAATCAACGAGTGAGAAATGCAAAACAATTAAGTTGCATTTTTTATTAGCTTTTCGCATATTGTTTAATCAAGATCCGATTGCATACTATTTAGTTTTCATTGATGAATTTTCCAATCAAACAATTAAACGAATGCTCGTAAAAGTTAAGCCCGGTTTGCATTGCGTGATCGCGATCGCCACCAAATATGTGGAATATGTTAAGTATTTCTAATACATTAGCCAATCGAGTCATATAAATTGCCCATTGTTTTTGTCGCCACTTGCTGCCTGCGATTCTGAAATATTATATTTCCAAAAGGCACTTGCTTAGTCGGTATGTTAATTTGTGGAAATACTCGTATGCCTGCAGACAATAGGTATGCGACTTCTCGCGTCTCTTAATGATTTTTGGACTTTCTCAAAATATAGACAATTAATTAGTTTTAATGCACTTCAAGCACATGTTGTTGTGGTTGGTCCCAGTTAGACAGAGGAATTCTCATGAATTATACATGAATACATAATGATATATAATTTTGGATACAGTAAACATTCAGTCACAATTCCTGCGTTAATATTAATCGTAGTGTAACTGTAGGCGCCCCAGAAGAATAAATAATGTTCTTACATGTACCCACAATTATCCCACAAATATTTCTAACCAATAATTGAATTAAGCCTCACATCTAATCACTCCCCTAGATAACCATTTTTCGTTATATTTTTTGTCTGCCCAAAATCTCTGCTGCGACTCAGTTGAAAAAAAAAGGTATATCTCGTTTCGAACTGCCATATCCATGAATTTCGAAGCAATTTATTAGCTTGACGTGCAAAGACAAAGCCAAACATGCATGGCCAATGCAAGTCCGCTCCGCTGCACGCCATCACCCCGCTCCGGACCCACTCCATTCGGTCGCATTCATGGCCCGAGGAGTGGGGCCGAACCGAGGGACTTTCGGCATAGTGCTGACCTTCGGCTAGAGAATAGAAATAAATTGTACACAATGTATGTATGTGGGGTATATGGGTAACTCTAGGGGAGCTACTGTAATGGCTACGTGTTCTCCGACTAGTAAGAAGATTGATTTATTGAGTCGAGTAATAACTGAAGCAAGCCGCAGCCGGGGCTGGATTTCGCCGCTGCTAGCGTTGGAGGATACTGATACTGGAGGGTACGTGATACTGGTTCTGCCAATGGGTATCCGCAATCGGCTAGAAAATGAAAGTATGCGCCACAAGGCGGCGGCTAATGTTTTGGCCATTGTTGCCGAGGCTGTCTGGGGGTGTCCGATCTGATGGTTGCTTGTGGTGGGAAACCGGCTGTTGGCACACCTTCTGCGGAGGTGGAGCCTTCAGGCACACAGCCTTAATTGGTTTAATGGTCTGCATTCATAGAAATCAAACTCGAGCACTTAAGGAGGCCCATTAAAAGCGCTTAAGAGCCCAGCATAGATCTTTGATATTAGTTGATTGATATTTTTTCGGCCAGCCCCAAAAACAGACACTTAGAATGGTTAACACCTACCTAAGGTACCGGTTGAAATGCTTGAAATATTCAGCAAATTCATCAAGACCTTGCCAAAGCTGGTAATGAAACTGTCAACAGGCTTCAGCGGCGACAACAGCACTCGGCTGTGGCTTCGGCTTCGGCTTCGGCTTAGGATTGACTTAATTGGATCCACATTTGTGCGCACAGAATGCACAAAATGAAGCAATTGGACACTGACGATGACGAGGCATGTGGAGAATGCTTGCGAGACGATAAAACCTCAAGCCGAAGCATATTTAAAGTTCATTTCGTAATGTCAGCAATGAGAGTGGAGATACTTTGGATACAATTGTTGGCCATTAATCTTCGAGTGTGTTCATCGTCAACGAATCATATGGAGCACCGAGAGCAACATTCATTGAGTACTTTCGAAACGAGCCGCGGTCCAGGGCGTTGTTGTGAAAGGAAATGTGATGCCAGCTTTGATAGCTCTAATAAGTGCGAAGCGAGGCAGCGAAGCCCCTGGGGGCATGCCACCTACGTTTCCGCTTGTCTCGCATGTCGTAACGGTCAAGTGCGACATGGACACCAAGGCAACAGTACGGGATTACATGGCGTTATGTCACTCGCTGGCTAATCATACCACATGGAACTGGCACTGGCACTGGCACTGGCCACAGCCTTGAACTGTGCTTAGAACCGGTACACAAATTATATATTTAGATCGTAACTTGGCATTAGGCGGAGCGGGGGGGGATACTTACTCTCCCAAAACGCTAAACAACAAAATGCCAAAGAGAATCAAAACAAAAGTGAATGTACAGCTGGGGCTTGGCTTGGAGCACCGGACACCCCTAGCAATTATCGGATGATGCTGGCGAGGGAGAGGGCTGCTCCCTCGATCACTCGCTACCCAATTCCGTATGCAAACTGCGAATGATTTTGTATGAAGTAAACAATGCCGTGTGTCACAATGCAAACAAATGCCGCGCAGGCAGTACAGTTAGTTGATGTTAGCTTGGCTAATTCTGGCTGGCAAAAACCAGTTTTCGCCTTCACATTTTTGCATAAAAACCCCTTTTAGCGGCGCTTTTCCGCGGCTCGTATTTGGGTTAGCTGCGCCACTGGAAATTCGTTGCAGAGAGAACCTTTCAAGAGTCCGGAGCAGAAATTGAACTCAAATCCGCAACGGGCTTTCCATTTTCAATCGGAGAGCAAACAAGTTGCTGGCAGGGCTTTCACCTGTTCGAAGTGGGTTCGTGCACCGTCGTCCCCCTCCTCCCCCTGTGCTCTTACGACACACACAGGCAGTTCCAGTTAGCTAACTCGCATTTGGATCACCTGTCCTGCGCCAGTTGCTAGCTTAGAAACGAAAAGGGAAACCGCACCGAGTCCACATATTTATTTGATTTAAATTGAATCAACTGCAAGAAGGCAAAGTAAAGACCTGGCTTGCCTTGCTTAACCACAATGTTTTTGTGGTACTATGTACATGGGGGGGGCTATGTCCAAACTTATTTAACTAGCCACTCGCCACTGTATTCTTTATTTAAGGAAAAATGTAACCAACACACTGAATGGCATTTCGATTTTCTTTTCGAAAGGCACATAAATCTTAGCCTTTTGATACGGCAATTACTTATCAGCTGAATGCCAGGATACAGGAATACAAATAAATATATAATTAGCCATTTAACAAACATCACATATAATAATATAAATCTTCAATTAAAGTGCTTTGCTTTGGAACTGGTTGCGGTATTTTGATTGTCGTTCGAGAACATTTAATTTATAACTTTCGGCAGAACACCGTCCTGTACAGCACTGCACTGCTTTGCTCTGCTCTGAACCGCACTGCATTGCCCTCTTGCACTGCACTGCCACCCTGAACAGCTTTGCCGCCCTGCCACTGCTTTGCCCTGCCCTGAGGCAGTACAATGTACTCTTTCTCTGTCAAAACATTACTCGTAAATACCGCCCGAAATTCGGTAAAAATATAATCAAATATTTTATTTATACTCGCATTGTTTCTCGCTGATATAATCAAATATTTTATGCGTTCTCGCATTGTTTCTCGCTGATGGCGATAATGAACTTGCAACGAGTTCAGCAATTGGTTAATTAAATCTACTAACAACTAAATTACCACACTCTGCCACACAAAACTAGTTGCTACTGCAACAATAACAATCACAAACAGACAAATCATAATGCAAATGTGCGGAAGACTTGGCGCCAGCCAC